TTGGGGGGGGGGTCACCACCACATGAGGAACTGTATTCAAGGGTCGCGGCATTACGAAGGTTGAGAACCACTGCCCTAGGGAGTAACTCTTTTCGTCAGACAGGGTTGCTCTGTGTGGAAGCCTCTCCATGGGTTGTAGGGAGTTAGGAGGTGGGACTTTGGCTGGGGAGGCGGGGATGGTGTCAATAGGGAGCAGGCACCATCTGGGAACTTGAGGACGTTAGATGCCAGTGACATTGCTGAGGGAGGAAGCGTCTGAGAGAAGTAGCAGGGATGACACCTCTAGTTGGTGGGCTAAGGTCCCTGAGGACAGCGTGCCCAGGGTCACTGGGGTCTGAGGGAGGAGCAGACTGAAGGACTGGGGAACTATGGATTGAGTGAGTGCAGGTGGGGCTGGGACCCTTAGAGAAAAGAGAGGCACACAGGGCCTTTAAAATGCGCAGGACAGGTCAAGGGTCCATCCCATTCAACCAGGCCAACTAATTCTCCCTTCTCTTTCCATCCCCATGGCTTATCTCTCCCTCCTGGGGGCCCAGGTTGAGGGAGATGTTGAAACAAGTTGTTCTTGAGACAAGCCCCAAGAACATAGGTGAAAAGGCGACACAGGGCGATAACACCCTCTCCACACTACTCTCCCTGCCCCCTACCCCATTCGCCCCATCAGACCCTAGGTCAGGAAGAACCCTTTGGGATCCAACCCTTCCTCCATGTCAGATGAGGACAGGCTGGAAGGCAGTTTTCCAGGGGATGTCTTGGGCTGCCTGACTACCACCACCTCCCCCGGAACACACACACACACACACACACACTCACCGTAGTCCTGCCGGCAGTACCGCCTGAGGCTCATGTGGACCCTGGTATCTGAGATGTTGCAGTAGTTTTGACACTGGGGGTCTGGGGAGGATCAGGCCATCTGTAGGGGGCTCCTGAGTGTTGGCCCACTGCACTGCCACTGCCCACCCCTGCATTTGACCTTGGGACTGGACTCCATGGGCCACTTCGAGACCCCACCTGGGGGCCTCGTCAGCCCATCCTCCATCCCTCCAGTTGCCTGGGGACAGCACCCCAGTCAGTCTTACCAGAGTTGTAGACACCAGGGGTTGTGGCAAGAGTGGTGGTTGTTTCTGGGATTCCTGTGTGTGTGTGTGTGTGTGTATGTGTGTGTCAGAGAGAGAGAGAGAAGCATTTTAGCAAAGCTCAGTTCCCTTCCCACTCCCTGAGGAATCTGAGCACCCAGGCCCCAAGTATCTGCTCCCTTAAGACCTGAGAGTCTACGCTGGAGTCCTGGTCCCCAGGCCCCTCCTCCCTCAGGAGTCTGAACCCCCATCTCGCCTGCCTGCAGAGCTAGGCATTCCACCCCCTTCCTTCCAGAACATCCCAAATCCAGCCTCTAGCCCAAGTCTGGCTCCCGCCCCACATAGGCCCTGGGGCTCTGCCCCTCAGGACTCACGCTGGCAGGGCATCCTGGGAGAGCGGCTCTGCTGGTAGCCGGGGCCACAGCGGTTACACCGGAGGCCTGTGACTCCCAACTTGCAGGAGCACTGCCCACTGGTCTGGTTGCAGACACCACCTGTCGCCCCAATAGGGTGGCACTCGCAGGCTGCACGAGGAGAGGAGCTGGGGGCCTCGGGTGTCTGTGTGCAAATGCTGCCCCCCTCCAGGCCTCCCCTCCTCCCTCAGGTCCAGGAGTCCAGCCCCCAGCCCCACCTCCCTCAGACCCTGGAGTCC